ATGAGGCTAAGCACTTTATTTACATATCTCATTTAATGCCCGCAACATGCGTTGGGCATAGGTATCAGTACCTCCATCTTACAGATGACAAAAAAGTGAGTCACTTGTTCAAGGTCACTTAGTAAATAGTGGAGCAAGGATTTGAACCCACAGAGGTGAAGTTCGGAGGTTCCAAGGCTGTGAAAATAGCATGAATCAATGCCTAGAAGGTTTGAGAAACAATATGTGTTGGGGCATATTGATGAAGCAGAGCCACATACAAAGAATGGGAAATGAATGGCAATATAGGCAGGTGCTAGACTGTGGAGGACTTGAAGGTCAGTACAAGGACTCTGGTCCGTTTAACAAGGTCATGGGAGCCATTGCAGTGTGTTTGCATGAGCAAATTGGCCCTTTAGAAAGATTAATTGGACAGCCATGTGGAGGATGGATGAAAGCTGGGAGAGGAACAGAGTTATTAGATGTTGTGCACAAATTCAGAACCTCAAGGCCCCACACCCAAGGCATTAGCAACCATAAAACAAGAAAGTGTGGGTGCAGAAAGCCTTTGAAACTACAATCTCCAGACTTCTTCCTCAGCACCCGTCCCCAATTGTAATCACCAGTTCCTTATGTGGTCTAAAAATCCAAGATAAGCCCATGTCTACCTCCCATTGGCTAAATATTGTAAGAACAAATATGGGGACTCCCTTCTTCCCTGCCACAGCCCTGACACCTGGCAGAGAGAGTAGGTGCTCCAAGAATATTTGTAGTGTGAGTGAGTAAATGAAGAATTCACTGGCTCGGTTTTCTGAAATTTGGAGTTTTCCCTTGAGGCAGTTGGAACAAAGCATACTGGGGAAAGACAGTTAGGTGGAGAAGGCAAGTTTGAGATTGATCTTTCCAGGCAGATTTTGAGTTATCCATGTGATATTATCCATCAGAGGTTGGTGGGGGATGGAGGGAGTGGAGAACAGGGCGGGGGGGGGGAGAGAGAGAGAGAGAGGGAGAGATTGTGGCTGAAGAAGGGCTTTAAACCAATAGGAGTAGGTGAGATTCCCAAGGGAGACAGTGAGGGGCAGAGCGGTACTAGATGTGGGGAGAGATTGCTTGGGGAACAAGCATCAGCACAGGGGAGAGAGATCTAGCCATGAAGGAGGATGAGGACTACAGAGTAGTGTGTCAGGATGTCATGGAATTCAGGAGGAGATTCAAGAAGGCTGAACAAAAGTGAGGGGCAAGGCAGTATGGGGTTGCCATCTGCCCCTAAGGGGCAGAGGGATGGAGGGGGAACCTGTGCCCACTCCTGGGTCTGGTGCTTGGCAGCTCAGGCAACTCTGACTGGGGCAGTTTCAGCAGCAGTGCAAAGGCAGCAGATCTCTGCTCTCAGAGCTAATGGCTTGACTTGGGGGAGAGCCAGTGGAGACCCCCTTCCTCACAAAGTTGGAGGGCAGAGATGAAGGGAAAGGTGGGGCTCAGGACAGTAGTTGAAGAGGAGGGGATGAAAGAGAACTGTGGAGATGAAATTAAAGTGTGAGGAAGAGGGAGTGATGAGTGAGTTGAGGAGGAGGTGTAAGGAGAGAAAATCTGGAGTCCAGGCAGGTGGACTGGTGTCTGCCAAGTCTTCCCTGGGAGCCAGCAGGAGGGGAGGTCACAGGACCTCACACCAGCTGGCATTCATCATTTTGATGATGTTCACAGCCTCCACTTACTGAGCACCATGGATTATTTCTAAACCTTCAAAATGGTATTTAGTCTTCACTTTATAAAGAAGACCAAAACTAAGAGAGGTTAAGTCAGTTACTCACTATCACACAGCTAAAAAAGTAACATTCAAGATCCCATCGGAATTACCTGATCCCAGAACTGATGAGCCTTCCACTGTATCATCTGAAGTAGAAGGAAAGTCACCTGCTGAAGGGGGTGGAGTAGAAGCATGTTGGACTTCGGGAAATTGATTATGGGAAGTGGGGTGTCAACAAGGTGAACAAGAAGTCATTTCACAGCTGAGGGCCATGCTAGAGGCAAGCAGCAGGACTTTGGGTGGACCCAAGGAGGTCAGTTTAATCATTCCAACAGGCCTGGTGTAGAAGGCAATAGGGATGTAAGCATGGAGAGGACTTAAACCTCAAGAAGATGTACTTTGCACTTGAGGGAAGGGGTGGTAATCAGTGTTTGTTGAATGAATGCATAGAAGCAGAGGAGTCTTCAGAAAGCCATTTGGTTGGATTTGAATGGTACACATGGGACATCCAGCAGAAGGTGTGCAAGAGGAATAAGGTTGAATATATTTCTTGACATTATTGTCTATTTCCTTACTCACACACTCCCACTTACACCCCCTACATACCACAGATTGTAACCTGCATGACGACAGGACTTTGTCTTGCCTAACACACTGCCTGGCACATAGTAAGTGCTCAACTAGCTTGTTGGATGAATGACTATAGGCATCTGGACCCCAAACAAGACATCTAGGTGTTCTCAGTGTCACTAACTGGTCATTAACACCCTAGAAAGGAAGAGTTCCCCAGGGAAAAGTTCAAGAGGAAAAAGCGAAAGGGGCTAAGGTTAGAATCCTGGGGACTTGTTCATTGAAGAGACCAGACAAAGATGAGATGCCAACAAAGGAGAGGAAGAGGGATAGGGGGGAAAGAGCAGCAGGAGATGGGGAAGAACCAAGTCAGAGAACCAAGAAAGGAGAGGGTTTGGAAGATAAGGTGGGGTGGTAGCAGTTCCAATGCTGCTCCAACAGAAGCCCTGGGGAAAGGGCCCAGAACATCATCTGGCCCAGGAGAGACACTTGCTAGAGTCGCAAGATGGGCATGAGTGTGGAACCAAAGCCCACGTGCCCTCTGGACCAATTTAAAACACCTCAAATTAGAGTCCTACGTGTCCCACCACCACCTGGCAATTCCTTAAGCTGCATGCAAACACAGAGGAGGAAAAAATAATTGCTGAAATCATTTGATTATAAAATTGTTCATATCCTGTTCTTAGAAAGGCAATTTTTTTACCATGTTTTATATCAAATGAAAACATCTTGATTGATGGAACTGAGTAGCCTTCAAACTTAGAATTCTGGGTCAGGGTGGGTTCTCTTGCATTTCCTAGAAATCCTGTCCTAACCATGAGCGAGCGGTGGCAATCTACCAGACATCCAATCAGTATCTTCTCCAAACATCAGTACCTGGGTAGCCTTCACATAGTCTGCTTTGCAGGGAACAAACTGAAGCTTTCGCAGGGAGCCAGAGCCAGTTCTTAGAGCCAGGATTTTGAACCAGGTGTGTCTGGTGCCCAGGCTCAAGGGGATGTTTTTCTACTCTATCATGACTTTTTGTATCCTCTAAACATCCTACCAGGTGGTCTGAGTATGTAGAAGTCCTCAAATTAACTCTCAGGCCCCATCTGATGGAAAGATCTCAATCTGTCCATATTTTTTCTCATTTTGAAGGAAAGGGGAGAAATCCATTATTAACAAATAGTCAATGGGGCCTCCCCTGATGGTGCAGGCTGTTGAGCGTGAAGCTGTGAAGCTGTCCGCAGCCTCTGCAGCGCCAGTTAGATCCCCACCAGCCGGCAAGGGTCCCACATGGCGCGGCAGACCTCTCCTGTCACACCCGCTGCTCCCCTCAGCAGTGTATTTCGTCAGTCTGCCTGTTCTGTTCCCTGCTCTGTCTCTGGTGAATCCTCTCACTCTCTTGCAAATCTGGCCTATACCCTGGTTCTTGTATAAATAAATAAATCTTGAAAAAAAAAAAAATAGCCAATGACCTTGAATTCCAGCTGGCTTCTCTAGTGCCTTTTCCCAGGACCTCTTTTCCCACCTGCCAAATCATGAAGACCCTAAGGCTGTGTAGGATGAAAGGCCTTCAGGATTACATCTGCTCTCCGCCCTCCGTTGACCACCAAGCCACAACACACTTCCCACATCTTCCCATCCACGTCCAAAAAGAGATTGGTGGTGGCTTTGCCTATGAATGAGTCCATGAATGGAGCCACAGAATGGCTAAAACAGAAAGGAAATCTCTGAGAGTCAGAGAACCCAGGTTCAAATTCTCAAGGGTGTCAGGGGAACCAGGGTAAGAAGGAGGCTGGGGATGGAGGGAGCCCCAAGTTCTCTAGCCCCTCCCCCCACCACTCCGTGGGAATAGTTCCAATTTGACATATTGTGCATATTGAGATTTCCATTAAGATTTTATTTGGAGAAAATCTTCTCAGGCACAAAGATAACAATAAAAAATATAATAAAAACTGAAAGTCGGTGATTTAGGGAGAGAAGGAGGACTAACATTAGCCGAGTGCATCCCCGGCCGCACACGAGGTACTTTAAAGGGCTGAAGCTCTGAGAAGATGATAATGTCTCCAGCCCTCCCATGTGTAATTCAAAATAAAAATCAATATTAAGCTATAAAATACAAAACCTACATGGATGCCGCAATAAAAGTAACTTCTCCATTTGTCTAATTTCAGAAGTCTGGCTATGTTCATCCAGGCTGGTTGTTCTTATCTTTTCACCACCTCTGATATGCCCTAAATCCATGTGGGGTAGATCTAGAGGTAGAGCCGGTGCCCCAGGCTGGAATTCTCTCCAGTGTCCAGAGTAGCCCCCAGTAAGGGGCCACTGCCATGTCTGTCTTGCAGAGGAGGAAACTGGGCCCAAGGTTAAGTCACTTGCTGAAGATCACTGGCAAGTAAGGATTGAGGGGTGGCATCAGAACCTGGCTCCCCCTGACTCCCAATTCCAGGTTCTAACACTTTTGGTTGCAATCAGATTAAAATAGTGGTAAAATGGAGGTTTTAAAAACCAGCATCAGAAGCCAGGTGGCCATGCATATGCACCTGGACCCTAGGAAGTGCCCATACATCTCTTTCCCCTCCGAGCACTGGTCTCAGCCTCAGACTGTGGCGCCCAGGGCCTGAGCAGGGATGGGGGAAGCCACCTGCCATCTGATCAACTCCATAGCTGCTCTGTCTATGCAGAGGCCTCCCCCATTTGACCCACAACCCCTCTTTTGCAGGTTGTCACAACTCCCGGAGCCAGCTGGCCAGGAGTGCTGCATGCAAATTCAGCTACGGGCTAAGACACGCTAACTGGAGCCTGAAGCATGGACTTTGTCATGAAGCAGGCCCTTGGAGGTGAGGTCTGAGTCCCACACCCCTCACTTTCAACCAGGGTGTGATCCACAGACTGGGCAGTGGGGCTCAGCACAACAGGCCCCTCTACTCCAATCCTGACTCTTCCCTCGCCCCTCTCCAACCCCCGCAGGGGCCACCAAGGACATGGGGAAGATGCTGGGGGGAGAGGAGGAGAAGGACCCCGATGCCCAGAAGAAGGAGGAGGAGCGGCAGGAGGCACTGCGGCAGCAGGAGGAGGAGCGCAAGGCCAAGCATGCCCGCATGGAGGCCGAGCGTGAGAAGGTCCGGCAGCAGATCCGAGACAAGGTCAGCACTGCCCACCAGCCCCGGAAGGGTAGGAAGCACCAGGGTGAAACGGCTCCCCCAACCCCCAGTCTCAGGCTCCCCGAGACCCAGCTTAGTTAGACCTACCTCTCTCTGAGCCTCAGTCTTCTCAGCAGAAAAATGGGTGTCAAAACAACACCCCCCTTGAAGGAAATTTATGGGGAATAAATAAAATCATGCACTTAGCAAGTGCTTCCTGCTGTTTACTGTTGCCCAAAACCAAGAGACTAAATATGTTTTGAATCCTGAATTTGGGAATTTTTGAAAAGTCCCATAGTGCCCCGAGCATCTGTTGCTGTTGCTTGTCACCCCCAGTGAGCCTGTGGCCCCGCCCCACCCACACAGTTCCATACATGTCTGATAGCACCTCAGTACGACAAGTTCACAAGTAGCTTTCCATTGGGTCAAGTCAAGTTCCATCACCAAAATGTGGCTCCATAAGGGAAAACTTGCAAGTTTTCTGATCTTGGGGAATTTCGAAAGAGCAGAGAAGTTACTGTGGGCAAGTATTCATGTAAATGAAACCCATGCACCCCCTCTCTTGTACTCTCTGAGCTCTTAACTGTCGAGGGGCACAGCCCTACGAGGCAGACGTCCTTATGCCCCATTGTATGGGTGAGAAGGCCGGGGCTTCAGTCTCCTGAACTGCCCCAGTGAGGTCTGCATGACCTTGAGACCCAGACTTCTCCTTGCCCCTCTTCATGCTCCTCTCTGTCCTCCCCTTCTCCAGTATGGGCTGAAGAAGAAGGAGGAGAAGGAGGCCGAGGAGAAGGCCGCGCTGGAGCAGCCCTGCGAGGGCAGTCTGACCCGCCCCAAGAAAGCCATCCCTGCGGGCTGTGGCGACGAGGAGGAGGAGGAGGAGGAGAGCATCCTGGACACGGTGCTGAAATACCTGCCCGGGCCGCTGCAGGACATGTTCAAGAAGTAACCGGCCCCGCTGCCCCACCCCATGCCACTCGTTTCGATTTTTTTTTCTTTTTGGTTCTTTCTTTTCTTTTTATTCAGTTAAGTCTCAGTTATGAAGGGGAAAACCTCGGTTGGCCTCTGCCCCTCTCCCCTGGCCAGGGGCTCCTTCCCCTCAGCACGCCCCCATACCCACCTTCACCCCAGGGTATCTAGCTCCCGAGTAGCTCCAGGAAGGGAAAACAGCTTTCCCCCAGCAGGGGGCATTGAATCCAGTGCCAAAGGCACCAGGGTTCCCCTAAAGAAACCCAAGGTCTATGCTAGTGTGGTAATCCCCATACATTCCTTCATGCACCCCACTGCCAGGTGGACCACTGTCCCCAGCCAGCCAAAGTAATGACACATTCCAGCCCTGCCCAGCATGCTGACCTTTGGCCTCTGACCCCTGTGGGCCTCCAGGTCAGGGCAGGGGCATTGAGTGGCCTGGCTCCGAGGAAGGGATCAGGGTAGGCCTGCCTTGTGAGGGCCCAGCCCAGCTGTGTTCTAGCCAGGCCCGGGTGTAGGCAGGAGGCTGGGACTCTCCTTCCCCCCCTCCCCATGACACCCAGCCCAGGAGCACCCCTCCACCAACCCCCTCCCAAAGAGGCATAATCCTTGCCAAGCCAGTTCCTTCAAATGGATCCTCTTTGGACTTTAACTCATTCTGTGGTGGGGCCCCGGGGTCGGGCGGCCCCTTGTCCCCACCACTCCACTTAGGCCCTGGGGACCCACTGCCAGGCTGGGCCCAGCTGGCCCAACCAAGGGGCTGCCCAGGTCCCCCCAGAAAACACTTGGAGCCATTGGGCAGCAATGGCCCATGCCATGGGACACCCCCATTGGTGCAGCCAAGCTGCCCCCATTCCTATCCACTCCTCTTCCCCACCCTATCCTGTCCATGTGCTTCCAGGGCCCCACGGTCCCAGGAGGACCCTTCCTGGCTAAAGCCCCCAGCTTTTGGGGGAGAAGCCAGTTCCCACTGGACAGAAGGCTTCTGTCTACTCATCTCATTGGCCAAGAACAAACTCTCCTCTGGGATGTGGGAGACTGGCGTTTGTTCCCCCAACCCAAATTGTCAAGGTCTCCTGCTCAGTGTGTAAGAAATGGGAAACTGTGGCACGCATGAGAGGTGTGTACAGCAGAGGCTGTGTGACTAGAGACTTCACGTATGTGTATTAGTCATTGTATCTCCATTGGATACGTATGTGTTTGTTAGGCAGCTATGTGTACGTGCTTCTTTGAGGTGGTGTGTATGAGTTGAGATTGTATCTTGCGTGTGTGTTAACCATCTCATAGGTGTGTTAGAACCTGCATTTGTTAGCTTGTATATGCGTGTGTTTTCAGAACAGCATGCTTGTTAGGGGTTAAGGGTGTGTGTTAGATGAAGAAATAAGTGTTTGAGAGAGTTAGCAGGTGTGCTGAGACTATTGTGCGCATGTGTGTGGATCTGAAAAGGCAGTTGTGTGCAGGGACATGTGTGCCTGGGGAGAAACGTAGTTACAATGCCCTCTTGACCCCAGACCACTGGTCAAAGGTGACCACACCCAACAGGAGACCTTGTCCTTGGCCTAGAGTCCTTCCGCCCTTGTGGGGTTCTGCCTGGGATCCTCAGAAGTTCACTGAGACAGACCCAGGCAGTACCCCAAGAAGCCATGCTGGGCCCCATCAGGGCCTATCCCCAAAGCAGGGGCCAGGGAGGGGGCGACTTGCCTGCCCCCAGAACCCCTGTCCCATTGGCCCCAGTTTGCATTCTGCAGGTTTTCCATTTTAGTGGATTTATGCTTTTATTTCAGAGAAAGACATGTGTCTTCTCTGTCCGTTTCCAATAGTTAAAGCCATATCAGTTAGACTGCAATACTTTAAAGATGAGACAAAACAATCCATATGTTTAGGGAACCAGAAAAGTCCCCTGGTCTGTCCCTTCTCTAGGGAGCAGGGCTTCAGTAGCTCCAGCTCCCTGTACTTACCCTTCTCCCCCACCCCCATCCCTCCCCTGTGCCCCCTTTTCCTGCCCCCCAGGGGGCCTGTGTCTCTGTCTGTGCCTGTGTCTGTGATGGGGAGCCACTTTGCACCCCGGTTGTCTGCTTGTCTGTTTGTGTTTTTTATCCTGGGCAGGATAGTCATTCTCTAGAGCCTTGGGGTCCTGGAGCACAGACAGGCAGGGCCCCCAGTCCAGGGCCCCCGATCTCCCCAGGCCCCATGTGAACCCCACTTGGACACAAGGGTGGATCCCAAGTGTTCAAAATCCCCTGACAGGGGCTCACAAACCACAAAGGTGGTGCCGGGCATAGAGAGTGCCAGATGGGAAGTGGTGTCGGGGGCCCTGGGAGCTTCGGATGAGCTGGAGAGCCACTCGAGTTATCCCAGGTGGACCTGAGGGACCTCAGACCCTCAGAAGGCATCTCTGGTGCTCTCCACAGCCCCTCTGCACCTCCAGAGTGGGCCCAGGGCTTTTCCTAGATGAGAGCCCCCTCCAGGCCAGCTGGCTTAGTCTGGTTCATGTCCCAGACTCCTCCATCCTGCTCCCGAGCAGCAGGACTAGAGGTCTTCCTGGAGGCAGGAGCTGGAGGAGAATTTCGACCTGCAACATACCCAACCCGAACCACTGGTTGGGAATCATTCTTGAGTCTGGGAGGACACACAATGATTCATTTCTGACACAGACCTGACTGTGGAGAGAAGCCTAAAATAAAGGTTGGCCCAGAGAGGATGTCATAGGTAACAGAGTAGTGGGGAGACAAAATATGGGGTGCTCTACAGGAAACATGCAAACTCTAGCATGTACATCCACGTGATGTACGGGGGTGGGAGATGTGTGTGGCCCACCAAATGGGAGGGAGATGAGCATGTCACACACAAATGGCGCAGTTTGCATGTGACACACTTGGGAGGTAGGGGCAGGGAGGGAGAGACTCTGAATTCGGCGCTTGAACACATGATGTCCAGCAAGGGAGAGAGGAAGGAGCGGTCTCTGGACATGGATGAAATCAGAATTTCACCCATACCAGGACAGCCTGCCCAGGAGTATGCCTGCACAGAAGGGCCACCGCTGCGCTCCTGTGCCTGAGTCTGCATCTCGGGTTTTTCTTGGCAACAGGCCAGGATTTCCATTTCAGGTCCGTAAGCTCCTGGGATATGTTCTTAATGGCAAGCATGGGGTCTCCTCCAAATGTAAGTAGGAAGTCACAAGACCCTCCCGGTGTGAGAGAGTTGTGTGTACCCAGAGCAAGAGAAGGGGAAGGAAACAGGGCAGAAGTACTCTGGCCCCTCAGGAGGGGCAGCAGGTGGGCAAAGCAGCCACCCCCAAGGCTGTGGCTAGAGTAAAACAGGGCACACACCCAGCCCCAAGAGCCCCTGGCACCCAGCTATCAGGGTTGCCCACCTGCTACTGCCTAACTGCTCCGTCCCTCTAGGGCCCAGCCGGCCTTGACTGCGCTGAGGTTCTGGGGGCAGACTGGCTCAAAGGAGGGAACTCTCCCAGGCCTGAGGACATGCCTCCCCCTACATGTCTCCTGCTGCGCTCCCTGTTCCTATTACCCGCCCTCCTCGCTGGGGCGAGAATGAGGGTCTTGTGCTGGCCCTGGGGGTGGGGGTTTCCTAGTAAGAGCTGAGGAGGACGGCCATCCTGCTCACGCAGGGGAATCCCTTTCCCACATGTGTGCTGTGTCCTCTGTTGCTCTGCTTCCTTTAAATGTGTCAGTGCCTGGGGGGAGGGGAGAGGCACGCCCCATACCCCCCTGAACCTGACCAAAAGCCATGGCTGTTGCTCCCCTTTGTATGACGCAGATGCTAAGATGTACCAAACCAACCATGACAACCAAGAAAAGACCTTGTACAGCAGCTCTCGGGTGTCTGTGTTCTGTCCGGCGGCGGCACCACCACCACCATAGGGCAGCAGCTCGCCAGTGACGGGGGTGACCCACAGAACTCAAGAGTCCCCCCAAAATCTTAGTATTGCCCCACTTATAGCCCACACACTGGAAATGGCTCAGAAAATTAACCAAGGACAGAGTTAGGGATGGACTCAAGGTCACTCACCTCCCGGCCTCCGGAATCAACTGTTATCACCCCAGCTGCTAGTGGTCCAACATGGTCACAGCACCCCACATCCCATCTCTGGCCACCCTTCACCCCAAGCTCCTCAGATGTGACATTATGACAAACGGCCAAGTCACATGGGTGGGCAAAGCTCTGTCACTGGTCATCCCACCAACACACTGTGCAAGAGGCTGGTGACACAGAGAGATGCCCCTCAGCATTGCTCCTGGACACAGACACTTTCCAGAACTTGTTGAGGAGTCAGAACCAGACCAGAACCCCCCTCTCCAACCTCAGCTTCTCCCCATCCTGCCTTCACCTTACCTTAAGTGTGGTTACATCTTTTTTCCACCTGGCTAGGCCCTTCCCAGCCACACACTGGTCTTCCAGTCTCTCCCTCTTCCCTTCTGCCCAGCCTTTCCCCAATACCCCACCTCCCTTAGAAGATGCACCTAAAACTCAAATCCTACCACACCACTCTCTTGCCAACAGCCTCAGTGGCCCAGAGGATTACATCAAAATTGCCAAAATGGCTTATGTAATAGGACTCCAATAGGCTAGGTCAGAGCCATGCCCAGCTCTGTGCCTCAAGCATCCCAGGCCCCACACATAGTCTGCATTTCCATGTTTGCTTATCCTGTGCCCTCTGCCTAGAATGAATCAATAACCCTTCCAGAGCCTCAAGATCCCACTCAGAGGCCAACTTCTGTGTGAATCCCACCCTGGCACAGCTCCCGCATCCCTGCCCGTAGCAGTCTATTGCTGTACATCACAGCTGGGTTTGCTGGAGAGTTCTGTCACCCAGTGATCCTGAACAAGCCACTTAACCCCTCTGAGCGTCTGCTTGCAAGTAAAATGAGATAATCGTAATTGCTTGACCTCCAAGTTTGTTTCGAGGTATAAATGGGGTCCTGCACATACCCTCTTAGCACTGCCTACCAAGCATTCAGTGAATGGCACTTTGCAAATTCTACTGTAATTTATGTCACTGCACATGTCTCTCTCACTAACTGGGGAGCTCTGTAAGGACGGGGCTGACTGTTGTCTGAATGCCTTCCAGCACCCACCACGGTCTGCCCTACAGTGGTGCTTAGGAGCACAGGCACAAACTCAATGCCCTCTAATCCATCTCCTCTCCCTCTTGTCTACTCCACCATCACTTTTCCTATAGTTCTCTGCATCTACCCGGAGGACGGCTGGGGAAGGGGAGGCAGTCCCTGACCCTTCCCTTTTCTGTGCCCTAACATCACTCCACCCTCCGACCTGCTCTCCCAGCTCTGCCCGTGAGCCCAGGCTCATGTTCTGTGGATAGCAGATGGAGCCAAGAAGAGGCTGTATTTGTTATCGTCTGCTGCATGAATTGCCATCAACTTGGTGACTTAAAGCAACATGTGAGGGTCAGGAGTCCGGGCACAGCTGAACTGGGTCCTCTGCTTCAGGGCTTCTCATCAGGCTGCAGTCAAGATACATAGTAGGCTGGGGTCTCATTGGAAGCACTGGCAAGTGCAAGGACCACTTCCAAGTTTATGCAGTTGTTGGCAAGACTTAGTTACAGTTTGGTTGAGGGCCTCGGTTCCTTACTGGCTGTTGGCCAGGGCGGTGCTCTATTCCTTGCCATGCGCCCCCTCCCCCTCCATGAGAGTGGCTCACGATGTGGCGGTTTGTTTCATCGGCACATCCAAGCCAAGAAGGCAATAGATAGTGTCGGCTGGAAGAGGGAGCCACAAGGCTAGCAACCCATTAATATTCTATTGATTAGAAATAAGACACAGGCCCTGCCCACACTTACAGGGAGAGGATTACATGGGGTGCTCATACCAGGACAGGGGTCCTCAGGGAGCATTTTAGAGTCAACCCCCCACAGAGACTGAGACACCTCCCCCTTCCCTGCCAAGACTGACCTCAAAGGAACCAGACCCCAAATGTCTTGGGTCACAAGGAGTGGGGTGCATGTCTCAGAGCAGAGTTGTAGTCAAGGATGGGCTCTCCCAGGGCTTCTGCAAGACTGAGGTCATTCCCAGTGGCATGGGCTAGGCTCCAAGGGCCTTTAAGTTCAGGGATAAAGAAAAAGAGAACACAAGGGTTTCGGGCTTCCCTGGAGTCCGTCTGCATGCCAGATGGTTAGCAAGCTCCCAAGCCCTGGCTCCCTCCTCTATAAAGAGCCCAGACTTTAAACTAGGATGCTCCTTCTCTATCTGCTCATCTCCTTTCCACTCAGCGACAACCCACTGTGTACTTTGCCCTACTAGGGAAACCCTCTGACTTTTGATCCCCAAAGTCTTCTCCTAAGAGACTTAATCCTCTCAGTTAAATAGCATTTACTAAACTTCCGCCACATGCTGGGCGCTGGACTGGGCACCAGGAACACCAGTCATAAGTCTCTTCCATACAGGAACTTACCCACTAGTGGAGGGGACGGGCAGATAAACAGACCAATTACCCACCATCTGTGCAGTGATAGAGGGCAACTCAGGGTTCTTAGGGAAGGCTCCCTGGAGGAAGAGACATCTGAGATGTGTCTTAAATAAGGAGGAGTCAACCTGGAGGAGAAGGAGGTGTGAACAAAGGCCTGGGGGAGGCAAAAGTAGCTCAAAGTGGATGGAGGGAGTCAAGGAAGGAGATATGGGGGATGTCTGCAGAAACTTGCTAAATTCTTGGTGAGAATCTGAGAGCTGGGAATGTCAACCAGGGTGTGGAATGACAGTGCTTGGGCTCTACCAACCAGCAATGTGAGTCACTGAAGGGTCTGGGGCATAGGTATGATGTGACCAGGTGTGCAGATCAAGGAAGATCACTAGGGCTGTGAGGAAGACAACCGACCCGAGGAAGTGGCAAACTGACAGAGAAAGAGGTAGATAGGAGGGATCGATAAGAGGGCAAGGACTTAAGGATTGGACTTAGGGGCCATGGAAACGGGTAGGGTCTACACCCACGCCTGTGTCACCATCTTGGACAGCTCCATTTTCCAAGATCTGAAACACTGGTGGGAGAGAAGTTTGAAGGAAGATAATGAGGGTTTTTTGTTGTTGCTTCTGGGTTTGAGGCCCCTGGAGAGAATCCAGTGGGCAGGCTGCACCCCACACTGGACAAGGACACAGAAGTGCAAACCCAGGAGAAGCACGAGTCACACGCTGTGTGGGCTAACTCCCATGCGGAGTGATGTCTTGGTCATTTACTTCCCCGCAGGGATCAAAATACAGGAAATCAAGAAACCTGGAACGGGGAGATGATTCAACATCTAATCCATATTCCCAAGCAACCAAGGAGCCCCTCCTGGGTCACCGTTAGAGGTGAGCACTCTGCCTGCACGCCCTGCGGCTGTGGGAGCTCATCGCAGTCGAACAGGTGCCTCTTTCTCCTACAGCAAAGGCTGCCAGGAGGCAGGGGGTTAATGAAGCCTCCTCCAACATCCCTTTAATTGACTGCAAAGCCCTGCTTCCAGGCCACTCACTTAGCACTTGTAATTAATTGGGGCTTCTTGCCTGATCTGAAAGATGATTCAATTCCCCCCCAGGACAATGTTGTCTCAGCTGGGATCCTTGAGTGAGCTGTTTCTATACCCCGGCCTCTCCACAGGCACTGACCTGGGTATGAGTACAGACTCCAGCCCTCCCTTCTAATCTGTGGGAGCTCGGGTGCTTCCCCACTTCGGGCACAGAGCTGGCACATGGTACAGATTCAGGGGGTGGGGCCACCTCCTTGGACCTCACACCCAGGTCTGGACAGCCACATCAACACCCCCACTGCTCTCATACGAGAGCACTAGACATGGCCTTCAGTATGGCCATGTCCTTGGCCATACAAGGATCAGGGCTGCCCAACCTAAAGTATGTGGCCACGGGGCAGGAGAGGGATGGAGGGCAAGGGAGCCTCACTGGCTGGTGGGAGAACTACGGGGACGACACTAGGAGGGAAAAATCAAATAGTATCTGAAAATTAACAAAGATATAAGGAAAAAAGTACATTTATTTTTTAATTAAATAAAATAGACCCCTGCTGCATGCCATACACAGGGCTGACTGCTTTCTAGGTACCATCTATGCACATCCTGACAGGAATCTGGGAGGCTGGGATTGTGCTCATGTCATACATGAGAACACCAAGGCTCAGAAATAAAAGTGTAAAATGGAAGAAATCTAGGCTTTGAATCCCAACTCTTTCTGTCTGGTCCTGAAGAAATGACTCAACTGCTCTGAAGTTTGGTTTCTTTATCTTTTTACAAAATAATGCCTAACCCCAACAGCAGGGTCATTGAGGGAATTAAATAAAATAATGCCCGTAGATCCCCTAGCACAATGCCTGGCACTTAGCAAGTACTTTAAAAATGGAGACGATTACTATGAAATGCTATTATTACTACGGCAAGGATGATGACAAGAAGAGGAAAAAAAGGAGGGCGATGATATGAAAGGATAAGGAGAAGAATTAATTACAATAAAAATCCTCAAGTCATCCAAATAGTCAATTGTGAAACCTGGATTTAAATTCAAATCTGTTTCATATCCTTTCACTGTAATACAAGTCAAGAGACAGGGGTTGAGAAGGTCAACAGAGGGAATCACACCTCTGCCAGGAAGAGTGGCAGCTTACAATAGACTTCACAGTGTGTGATCATTCTCTGTTGCACATAATGAATTATCCCTAAATTTAGAGACTTAAAGCAATAAGCATTTCTTTTTTTCTCACAGTCTCTGAAGTCAGGGATTGTGGAGTGACTTGACTGGGTAGTTAAGAACTGGGGTCTCTTGTGAACTTGCAATTGGCATGTCAGCTGTGGCTGAAGTCTCATCTGAAGAC